GTGTGTGTGTGTGCGTGTGTGTGTGTGTGTGTGTGTGTGTGTGTAGGCCCCCAACAAAGGGAGGCGCACTGCCTCTTAAACCAGCTGCATAAAGCCGGCCGTAACAAGGAACCGCCCACCGGAAGTCCGCCTGTCCGGCCTTCAAAATAAAGGCACACCGTGCTTAGCGTGCGGGGATTTTTGAGCTGGCAAATGTCCAGGAAATGTTGGAAGTAAAACACACAATCCAACTACCCCAGGGTCAAAATATCATGTTGAAATGAGAAGGAACACAGGTTGGGGTTTGTGTCTCTTATTGGTTGGAAACGTTAAATATTTCCACAAATTGCTCCACTCAATCTAACAAACTGATGAGTGATTAGGCAAGGAGAGTTTATTTTACAGAACATTTCCTGTACGAGACAATTCAAAGTGCTTCACAGAGAATTTAAAAGCAGAAAAACGAGAAAAATAATCTAAATTAGACAGATGAAAATCCAATCCAATCCAATCCACCTTTATCTATATAGCACGATTTAAACAAACACAGGGTTTTCCAAAGTGCTGCACAAAAACATATCCAAGAAAAATAAAGTGAAAGGTGAAAAGTGAAAGGAACAGATCAAATCCTTCCAGTTTCCATTTTACAGTTAAACAGATGTTTTCATCTGGATTTAAACATCCAAACTCTGGTTCTGTCTCACGTCTTCAGGAAGTCTGATCCAGGTTTTAGGAGCTTGGAGCTGAAATTATACCTCATTCAGATGCTTATTTACAGTGGGGGAAATAAGTATCAGATAGTTATCAATTTTTATAAATTCATATGATGTGATTTTCTGGAATTTTCTTTGGGATTCTGTCTTTCACTGTTAGAATGTACATATGATTAAAGTTATGGATCGTTGCATTCTTTGTAAGTGGGCAAACCTGCAAAATCAGCAAGGGCTCAAATACTTATTTCCCCCACTGTGCGTTTTCCTTCTTTTATTTTGGAGGAGGCCGGAAGCTGCGGAGCCACTCGGGCTAATTAATCCGCGGCAGGGTGGAGCAGGAGGCGCTTGAAAGAAAGGAGGGACAGGAGGGGTAGTGGCCTGTCTTCAGTCCGGAGGAGAGAGCCAGAAAAAGCCGATCCGGATCCGGAGGAAAAGCCCCGAGAAAAGAGCCTCTGTTCCCGCGTCTGGTCCTCCCTCAACCCGCAAACAACAGCCTCCAGATCCCGCAAAATACGACCTCCAGATCCCGCAAAATCCCTCCTCCAGATCCCGCAAAATCCCTCCTCCATCCTCCATCCACCGTCACCGGGAAGGTCCGCATCACACAAGGTAAACAAGCCGCATCCCGGTCCGGAAGATGGATGTTTAGATGGATAAATGTTTGGATGGATAAATGGATGTTTAGATGGATGTATGTATGGATGGATGTTTGGATGGATAAATGGATGTTTGG